CTTTTTTCCATGCACTTATTATATTCTCCTATGGTACACACTCATGTACTTCACACTCACAAAAATGAAAACATGTATTCCCAGAGCCATATAAAATTGTGGACCCGCAATGGCTTATCTTTCTCTAAATTTTTTTGGTCTTTACCATCTTATAAATTGTCTTGTTCCTTCTCTCTCTTATCTTCTTGCCATTGAATTTTAGATATTCTTTTGGTCGGCTCCTCTCTCTCTCTCTCTTTCTCTCTTAGACCTTACATATTGTGCTAACAAAAATGGTTTCATCTTGCCACAAAACATAGGTGTCATACTTTATTTTTTAATAATAATGTTATTTATTTATTTATTATTTTTTTGACAAAATCACATAATATATTGTGAGGTGCGGCTCTTTTATTGTGAAGCCCTCCCCCCCCCCCCTCCCGACCCCATTGAGTTTGAACATAACAAATAAAATTAAAAGTAGGCCCTGTTAAGCTCTCAATCTTGCACTAAACCAATCACCTAATCTTATATTTTTATCATAATTATTTGTTTGTTTTTTGGGTGGTTGTTACTTTATTATTTCAATTAATATTCTATTCATTTTACTTAGCATTATTCCTCTATTATTTATTTACCAACTCTTCCTTGGCGGCCAAGGTGAGTGTGATGGTTGCGCTAGGAGCATGATGACCAAAATGCCCATGTTGAATGCAAATGCATGCCAAGCCTACGTGCAAATGCATGCCTTTTAATAAATATATTTTTTAGATGGATTTTAACATTTAAGTTTTAGAGACATGTAATATCTAACATGGAGATTATGAATATGAAAAATAAATAAATTTTAAAAATTAAAAATAATCATTCTAAAAAAAAAACATTTAAACCGTTAGTTTCTATTGTTTTTAGATGGAACACCTACTTGCATCCATCTTTAAGATGGATGTTTTAAACTTTCTAGATTGGGTCGCATGAAACAATTTTCTATTTTTGAAAGTATTAAGTTTTGAATTTGAGGCCAAAATTGTAATTATAGAGTTTTGATTTCTATTTGTTATTAGTGAAAAAGACTTAATGGACTTAAAAAAAAGGCACGGTTTTGGTGAGTTAGCTGACTCATACAGTTTTATACGTCTCCTCCTCATGCATCAAATGTCCATCTTAGAGATGGATGCCTAAAGATGGTGCCCCCACGAAAAGCCAAAATTGATGGTGGAAATAAATTTCAAAAAAGTAAACATCTCTGGTCGTGATCATCATCGTAGTTGAGATTAGCAAACTTTGAAATTTTAGATCCAAAATCCATCTTTAAAATATATGTTCGAGTTTTTTTTTTTTGGGTGAATCGGTGGGAAAAATAGATTTTGGAGTTGAGATGCACACAAATAGATGAGTCAGCTGACTCACCAAATACTTTTATTTAGGTTTTAATCCGACATATATTCGACTTCAGTTAAGCCACAGTTAAAGTTAAAGACATGTGGCATTCAAATGGAATATAACTTGAAAAAAAGAAAAAGAAAATAAAGAGACTTTAGGGTAGGATTCCTATTAAAGGGCCCAAGCCCCAATCTTTTAATCCAATTCAATATCTATCCCTTTCTAAAATAAAATAAAAACTTTATTGGTATTTTAATTGGAAATGTATGATAGACAATCTAATCCGAATAAAAAACTAAACCTTCAGTATTTACAACTAAGAGATTAACTATCCCATTAATAACAATAAACTTTTTATGTTTTAATTTAAAAAATCCATCCATATAGACACGATTACAAATTCTAATATGGAACTGCATATGATGAAACATTTTACTTTTGATACAAGAAGGTCGCAATTATTGTCAACAATTGGATGTGAAATAGGATGGGTGGTGATGCGTCACTACTTGATCACAAAGTTCGACTCAAATTTTCTCGAAACTTGTGATACATTCTAATATGTTAGATTTCACAACCAATAATTAAGAAAAGTTGTGACCTTCTTATACCAAAAATAAGTAAGAAAAGTTGTGACCTTTTTACACCAAAAATAAATAGTCCGATAGTGTACAATCCCTTAAAATATTATTAATTTCATCGCGAGTTATCTCCTATCTTAATAACTTTAATTTCATTATTAACTTATTCTATAATCTCTAATTTCTTAAGATTTTAGTTTTTAAATATATATATTTTTACTATCATAAAATTCTAATCATAAAATAGAAACGTGTTACTCTTGCTGAGAAGTGCAGAGCGGGGGTTCAATAAGTTTAACTCGATTTTGTAGTATAAATAAGAATGTGTTACAAGAAAAGAGGTCACCAGTCACCTACCTTAATCTCTTTATAAGTAAATGACAACAATTTATTGCTTAACATGCAAGAATGTTTTCTCTAATAATTGAAGTCCCTAATTTGGATGTTAGAATAACAATATTTTTTGCTATTTGTTGCAAGTGTGAACTGACTACCTAACAAGGAAAAAAATTCATAAGAAAGTGCAATTTTGCATTTAAGTTCATCAAAATTATCAGAAATTCCTACCTGTAGCAATACTCTCTCTCTCTCTCTAGAATAAATAACTGACTACAATTTGACTATTTGTAAAAGGAAAAGTTTATATAGAGCCGAGGCTTTAAACAATCAAACTTGAGCCCACCTCAAAAATTTCATTGGAATAAGTTGTTTGATGCCCAAATATCCTAAAACTGATCATCTCGACATCAAGATGTATGGACATGAGAAAAAAAAAAAAAAGATTTTAAGTTTGGAAAATAGTGCATCTTGTAATGCATTTTTGGACAGTCAATTTTCAAAATTTTAAAGTTTTCATAGACCTACTCAAGTTTTCATAATCCTACTCGATATACACTATTTTTTAAGCTTTAAAATTTATAATTGAAGATGAAAATATATTTTAAGGTTATCACAAGGATTTCTAATATTGAAACGACATTTCTTGACACTATTTAAAGGTAGGCTCTAATTTGATTGTAAAATTCCGAATGGAAATTTCGAGTCCAAGTATGGCACGACTTGGACTTCTTGGTTTCTCCCCAAGTCTTGAATTTTAAATTTCTATATTAGTCTACTAATATTATGATGCATTTATACCATAAAAAGTATTTATGGCTGGAAATTTGTGCGAATATCTACTTTTACCTTTAATTATAAGATTTAAAGTTACGAAAAATAATACATTTCTAATTAGTTTATGAGCGTTTAAAATTGAACAATCCAACTAATGTTTAACAAAGTATGTTATTTTCAGGGCCAATAAATTATTTTTTATAATTATATAATTACCAAAATTAGGGGTGGCAACAGGTTGGATACAGGTCCACTCGAATAGTATTTGGGTCGAGGTTTTGACCCGGACCAAACCTGTTGGGTCAAAAAGTTGGACCCATACCCGTATACGTTGGTTCCCAGGTTTATCCCTTCGGGTCCCAGGTCTAGTCGGGTCCATTGCCACCCTCACGATGAGTTTTTTTTTTTTTTGACACTTTTCTTACTATCATATACCCATATTATTGGCAACAACGTCATAATAACCGCCATTAAATTTCAAACCGTATGATTTGTTATTTAATAGCTAAAGATGACTACGAGTTCTTATTGTACACGATCATTAATACATCCAAACGAATAGAGCTTGAAGTATTTTATCTCCAATAGTCTACAGGTACGGCAGGTCCAACCGGACTTGAACTCATATCTAAATAGTGCTCGAGTCTAAGTTTTGGACCCGGACCCAACCTGCAGGGTCCAAATGTTAGAGGTATACTCCAAATGTTAGAGGTATACCCGACGGATCCCAAAGAGATAATCAAATTTGAGGGTTTCCGGACAAAACTTATCATTTCCAGTGAGATCCAAGTGCAAATTTACTTTTCACGATAAAGCTCAGGCCTTGTGCTAACCCTTCCCTTGATTATGTTCATGATTTTTGGGGTTTTCATTAAAATTTATACCTTTCATTTTTTTTATTTTGATTTGAATATGGTATCCAAATACCAAACTTGTCATGTACCATAAAAATGGAATAACTTTAATTCTGAAAAAGAAGTGGACTTCTTTGACCATTTGTTATTTGATGGTGTCCTTTTGTACAGTTTCCCTCAAAAGAAAGGGGTACCGCGTTTTATATATGTGGCATATGCCCATGGAATATTTGTTTGATTCTAAGCCCAATCAGACAAAACCTTAATTATTTTGCTCCTACACTGTGTCTCCTACAGCTGAAAAAAAAAAAAAAAATTTCAGTTTCGAGCCAATCGTTTTTTGGAAAATTCATATGCTAGTTATTTGCAAAATTCACATAGATCAATAATACAAGGAAAATTGTTTTAAACGGGCTGAGCCGTATTTTTACATATGCCATCCAAAAAATGTAAAGCATCTATCTTAAAGATGGATCTAAAAATAATGAAAACCAACGGTCCAAATGTTTTCATGCTATAATTATTATTTTTAATTTTTATTTATTTTTTCATATTCATGATCTCCTGACTTTTAAGTTTTAAAATCCATTTCAAAAATAGATTTATTAAGAGCCTGCGCTTCTACCAATGCGGCTTGGCCGCATAGAAACCAGGTCCATAATACAATTCTTGATTGTTTTTTCGTAATCAATTTTGGATCGTCAATTTTCAAGGATTTTTAAATTTTGGTAGATATGCTTGATCTACACTATTTTTTAAATTTAAAATTTTATAATTAGAGATGAAAATATATTTTAAAGCTATCACAAATATTTTCAAAATTAAAATTATATTTATCAATACTATTTGAAGGTACTATTTTTTAAGCTTGAAATTTTATAATTAAATATAACAATATATTTTAAAGCTATTATAAATTTTTTTAATATTGAAACCACAATTTTCGTCATTATTTGAAAGTGTGCTTTACTTTGATTGTTTAAAATTTCGAGTTTATACAAAACTGCGTCCTTCAATAAATAAATTAATATATATATATATATATATATCCCACCAAAAGAAAAATAATCCTTATATTGTTTTTGTTTTTTTCTGTAATATTCCTATGTTCTTATGGAGACGCTTCTCATCCTTTATGACTCATCGGACGCCTGAGTTGTGCGTGAGCAGGCGACTTTCTTTCACCCCTTTCTCTCTCTCTAAATTTCTCCATTTTTCCATCATTTTTAGGACTTGGGTCTTAAATTTTCTTCACAAAACAATAGAATTTGATTGAAAAATGTCTCCTGCTGTACCTTCTGAATCTGAACCCATTTCTCTCCAGAAGCCAATTCATGAAACATTGAAAATTCATGATATTTCTGAAACAAAATCACGTTTTCCTGGCCTGAGAGGCGTGCAATGGCGAGTAGATCTCGGGATTTTGCCTTCTGATGACTCTTCCATCGATGAGCTGAGAAGGGTTGCTGCTAATTCACGAAGAAGGTCGGGTTTTTGGACCATTTTTTGTGAATTATGAATTTTTGGTTTTTTGTTTTTGTTTTTTTCCTTATGGAATTCTCTCATGGTTTCAATACGGCCTTTATGATTTGTATTGGTTGGTTAGATGTTTTTGGTGACCTTTATTTGCATTATTTTTTGCATATTTTACGAGAGTTTTTTGTTTGTTTTTTTTTTTGGAGAAAGGTAAGAGGATTTTATGTTGCTTATTGAGGTTTTAGTCGAATGCGTTTTTTTTTTATCAAAGATGGCTTTTTTCTTACATCTTCCTTTTTTTTTTATTGAATATTTTCACTAATGATTAAGATAATTCATGGTTAGTATGGAATTACGAAATGGGTTTTATTTATTTTGTGTTTTTTTTTTGGGTCGTTTGAGTTTTTTTTGGTTTACATTGCATTTAGGAAATTTACATATTGATTTTGGGACCGATAATGTTCATGTATTTGGGTTTTTGGTTTTTTTCAATTGGGTGAATTTCTCTTCACTGCTACATCTATTCTAGGGGTTTTGGAAATTATTCTGTGGATTAATTCTGAGTTTTGCACTTCATCTTGATTTTTTGTATAATGCCTCTGTCTTTATGTTTCAATGTCCCCTTAAAGTCTCCATGGAAGTAGTCCCTCTGGGAGAGATTGGAAGTTCTTGAATATCTTTCTAACAGGCATGTTGAAATTGGATTGATTACATTGATAATGGCAAGTCTAATATTTGTGCTGGTTCTAAACCTAATCGATCTGACTTTTGTAGCTATGCGGTGTTCCCTGTCAGCTGTAAGGTGCAGAGCATATTGTTCTGTTTGTGAAATTTTCTTCCAGACTTTAGTTATCAAAGAAATATATGCACCAGATATTTAAGCAAAATAGGCATTAAATTGTGAAGTTTAATGGATTTATTTGTTGTGCTTTGAATTTTAAGCCCTTTTCTTCCGCGCAGGGTTTTTGAGGGCTTTGGCCAAGCTCCCAGTTTTTCTTTATTCTGTTCCTTTGGTCCCTTTCTTATGTAAGCAGCTATTTATAGGTTTACTAAATTGGATTTTTTAGTGACATTGTTTTTGTATGGAAGAATATTTCACCTAAAGAGCTTAGTTGTAATTGGAACCCCATGGCCTTCACTATTTTTTCTTTGTTATTTTTTCCATTTTAATTCTCAATCCAATAGAAAATTGACAAAGTTATGTTTGTTAATATTTGATCAACTGGGTCAATGGTCACTCGTTATCTTTGTTTCTATAGGATTATCTGGAATTTTGAGTTACTCGTTATCCTTCCAAGTTAATGCTGCTCATGTTGCTGGTTTATATTGAATCATTGTTGTGGCAGGTATGCTACCTTGAGAAGGCGTCTTTTAATAGATCCACATGTTCCTGACGATGGGACTAGAGCTTCAGATCATGTTATGGATAATCCGCTCTCACAAAATCCTGGTTTGTTAAACTGATACAAACTTTTTAGACTTGGAATTTTATATTGAGTTTTATTTTACAAAGAAATAGAAAAATAAGAAATTGATGATTGGTTTCATCGTGTTTTTAGTGCTCATATGTAATTCCAGATTGGATCCTTTTTTTTTCTTTTTTTTTCATATTTTCTTACTATGTTTTAAATTCTCAATTGCTTTTTTTCTGTTAAGTATTCATTTATGCTTTGCTTTGGTTTCTTCCTGGGTTCAAGACTATATAAGAGGACTTGATTCTGGTTTTGTAGAAAGCATGTGGAGTCGATTTTTCCGAAATGCTGAGCTGGAGAGGATGGTCGATCAGGATTTGTCACGGTTATACCCAGAGCATGGCAGCTACTTCCAGACACCGGCATGTCAAGCCATGTTGAGACGCATATTGTTGTTGTGGTCTCTCAGGCATCCAGAGACTGGTTACAGACAAGGTATTCTGGAATTTGTTTGTTCGTAATGAAACTGCTCTGTGTATTTTGTGCATGTGTGTGTGCGCACCTGCATGTGTGCCATTAGTGAACACCCCGAATTTCTCCCTGCCATCATGAATCCAGCCTTTAAAATATATATAAAAATAACAAACATGTAGAAACATGACACATAGATATATGCTTTATGGTCCAAGAGCATCTCGCTCTTCTGAACATTAGAGTACTGTAAAAAGCAAGGATTATTAGTTATCCCATCAGAACTTTGATATATCAATATTCTGTTTCTTGGACATCATCGGTGTTTTCTGGATTGCAGGTATGCATGAGCTTTTGGCTCCTTTATTATATGTTCTTCATGTTGATGTCTTGCGCCTCGCCCAGGTCAGAGAACTTCATGAAGATCATTTCAATGACAAGTTTGATGGCTTGTCCAATATCAAATGGGCAATAGAGGACGGTGATGATGACATAAATTTTCGGCAAACTGTGGCCAAAGTTAGCAGCCTGGATGAGCTTGATCCTGACATAAGGTCCATTGTATTAGTTAGTGATGCTTATGGGGCAGAAGGTGAACTCGGGGTTCTCTTATCTGAGAGATTCATGGAGCATGATGCTTACTGTATGTTTGATGCACTATTGAGCGGAGGTGGTGGTGGTGTGGCCATGGCTGATTACTTCTCTCCTTCACCTAATGTGGGTTCTTTAACTGGTCTACCACCTGTAATAGAAGCATCCTTTTCATTATATCGATTGCTTTCTATAGTTGATATATCCCTCCTTGACCATTTGGTGGAGCTTGGGGTTGAACCACAGTACTTTGCGCTTCGATGGCTACGTGTACTATTTGGGCGAGAATTCTTACTAGAAGATCTCTTGCTTGTTTGGGACTCAATATTTGCTTGCGATAATAGTCCTGTTATTCCCGATAATAACAATGATAATCATGTGAGAATTGCAAATTCTCCTCGAGAGGCATTTATTTCAGCCATGGCCGTCTCTATGCTTCTGCATCTCCGGTCCTCTTTGCTCGCTACCGAAACTGCCACTGCCTGTCTTCAGAAGCTGCTCAACTTTCCTGAGAATATAGAAGTGAAAAAATTGATTGAGAAGGCAAGATCTTTGTATACTATTGCTCTTGATACAAGAGTACCCTCTTATTTTTACCCAGGGGCTTTTGATGCTAGTAAATCTGCACTTACTCGTAATTCTAGCCTTTCATCTCCTCGCCAGATTTCAGGTTCGCTATCTCCTAATTCTCTTTTGGGTTCACTACCTGATAGCTACTGGGAAGAGAAATGGAGGAGCTCAATGTTGAAGTCAGAGCAAAGGAAAGGAAGCTTGAAATCGACTGAGAAAAAGGCTTTAGGAAGGGGACGATTAAGCCTAGCAAGGGCTGAATCAGAGCCATCTCATACAAAGACAGCAAATGGCCAAAATGGACATCAGTACCCTGTCAGGAGAAGGCTTTTAGAGGATCTGAACCGAGAGCTTTGCTCAAATGAAGATTTAGAAAACCCATCTGGCAGTATGTCTAGCCCTGAAAGGCCTTTTTCTGTCCAGATAGATGCTGAAAAGGATATGGAGGAAGAAACAAGTGGAGCAGGAGGAAGTGAGGAAAGCTCGCCAAATATATCAACATATGCTAGTGCCCTTATTCGAGCTATCGACAATGAGAATGACTCCGAAAAAAGTAGTGTCACTAGTGCTTTATCTCTTGATGGTGATGATAGTGATCGTGTGGATGAAGCATGCACCATTGTTCCTGAGTGCCAACCCCTTTTGGAATCTGAAACCAAGGAGGGTTTGGAGCAGAGAGAACTTGGGGCTGACGCAATTGTGAAGGTCACCGAGGAAGCAAATGGTAAAAAGGAGGCTGGCTCAAAGGATAGGAAACCTATCTCTGGCAAATTTCAGTGGTTTTGGAGGTTTGGTCGGTCCAATGGAGAAGAAGCTTTCGAGAAAGGAGACATGGTATTGAATGGAAATGTGAATGAGGGGCACAACAACTCTGACCGCCGTGCTGGTGGGTTGGCCTCCGAAGGGTCAAGTAGTTTGCCCGAGTGTACTGATGTAGTGGAAACAGCAGATAAGAATGTGATCAGTACATTCAGAAGCCTTGGACAGTCTATGCTTGAAAATATTCAGGTGTGTCATTTGATTGGTTGCTCTCTCTCTCTCTGCATGTGAGTGATCTATGTGTACATGTTTTATGTGTCGATAGCAAGCACACCTGCACCACACATATGATTGTTTTGTAGCAATTAGCGCCATCTTATTAAATGGTTAATGGTTGTAGATATAGTAGTTGTGTCATCTGTAAAATAAAAGGAATGGTAATGTTTCCCGAAACTTCAATGATACAAAAAAATAGTGGAGTCTGGTTGGAAGCAACAGCTAGAACAATAACAAGAGTTACACATTGACTCTTACTGGATATGCAAGAAACTAGTCATTTCTTCTGAATAGCCAGTTATGGATTGGAGTTTGTGTAGTTATTTTAAGATTTACTTGACGTGGCAATACGAAAGTAATTACATGTGTTTTTAAAATTTACCTAAGTAAGTTCTTGTTATTTTAATTGTGTTGGTACACAAAACAGCAAAACATCAGTAAATATATTGTGTAAGGAAACCAACTACAATGGTAATTTTATTTTTACTATTTATGTTAACATCAGATACATGCTCTTGCATAATTGTTTTTGGCGTGCAAATCCTTTACAATGTAACTGAAGTGTCAGAATGATTTCATCTATTCCCATAGTTTGTGAATCAATTCTTTGCATTGATAGCTTTCATCAAAAGATTGTTGAAATTGGCAGTAGTTTCATTTCTTAACTAGATGGCTGACTAGTTATATTTCGCCATAGAAGAAACATTTTTGCTATAGGAGACGAAATTCTAGTAATATTTATGATAACTAACTCTGACACATATCTATGTTGCAGGTCATCGAGTCAGTTTTCCAGCAAGAACGAAGCCAGGTGGGTTCGTTGGAGAACTTGTCAAGAAATATTTTGAATAGCAAAGGGCAAGTCACAGCCATGGCGGCTCTCAAGGAACTCCGGAAAATTAGCAACCTTCTTTCTGAAATGTGAGGTGGTTTTGTGAATATATAACTGTAATTATCATTCTTCCATCCATGAATAAATAATATTCCTGGTTTTGCCATCACTACCAAGCTTCTTCAAGTCCACATTCTTTCTTTGCTTTTTATCTTTTTGATCTTTTTGTTTTCTGAAATGACTTCATATTCAGTTTCAATCAATCAAAGCCTTGTGGCCTTCTTACTTACCCGATAAGCCCAAAGAAGAAAAAATTGAACTATAAGGATGTGTTTGTCGTGGAAGTAAATAGAAAGTCTACTTTTCATAATACTACCGATCAATAACATTGGGAAAACATTGAAGGCTGTAAAAAGTCAAGGCCCTACAAAGTCAAGGGGAAGGCCATAAGGACATGGATGGAAGTAGTGAAAAGAGATAGGGTGACTTGTGATCTGATTGAGGGTATAGCTCTTGAGATAGCAGAATGACAGAACATGATTCGTGTAGCAGACTCCAAATAATTGGGATAAGGCTTGGACGACGACAATGATGATTTTTATTTAAAAGCTATTTTCTGGCATTTTTTGCACAAGTAGGGTTTGAAATGGGATGAGGCAAATGAGTTCCAAAAATATTCATGCACAAGAATATTAGAGTTTCTATTTATTGGGACAAACACGCCCTCATGGTTTTGATTAAACATTTTTAGTAAGGAAATGTATGTAATGGGACCATTTACGTTGCTATAAAGATGTCACAATCATTATTGATTGTTGGACATGAAGTCGGGTGGTTGGGGATGTGTCGTTGATTGAGCACAAAGTCTAAAACGAAATTTCTCGAATGTTGTGACACATTTCAATTTATTCGATTTTACATCCAATTATTAAAAATATTTGTGATCTTTTTGTACAAAAAAAAGTAAATGAGTCCCATAGTATACACTATTTTTTATTAAATCTTATCACAATTTTTGAATAAAAATCATTTGATATGTAATTATAAATTTAACTAATGATTTATAAAGGCTCTTTTAAACTCTGTCATGGCCGGTCCCAAGCTGGTCATGCCGGTCTCAAGTTTGGAGAAAGGAGGACGGTTGTGTTAGATTAGTAACCAGTGTAAAACTTTACATTTATTTCATAAATTCTAAACCAATGTTGTATGTTTAGTAGAGAAAATTCATGTAGCGGAACCCAAATAGTTTGGATAAAGTTCAAACATTCAAATGATGATCACGATTGTAAAGGCTCTTTTAATTTACACTAAATCATTTAGAGCACAAATATAAGTAGAAAAAGAACGACTTATACATTTATGTATGGGAAAAGTTTATATAGAACTGAGGCTCCACACAATCAAATTAGAGCCTACCACAAAAATTTCATTGGAAGAGGTTGTTTTGATACCCAAATATCTTCAAATTGATTATCTTGACATCAAGATGTATGAAAATGAGAAAAAAAAAGGATAAATGAATTTCAAGTTTTGAAAATAATTTATTTTGTAACGTATTTTTTAAATTTTCATAGTGGAGCCTTCGTTTCGGAGGAGTGATTAATTAAGGTGACCAACTGATGGTGTTTTATTGGAGTAGTTACCCATGCAAGCCTCTTTCTTTTATGAGTAATAAAAACTTTTATTCGTCATTTTGGTCAATGTTATTTTTCTAGCCAAAAGCTCGTCTTTAAGGGCAGTAATGTCTCTTTGTATATGAGTACTTGCATATGGGTGTTTGTTTGCGTGCGCGGCTGTGGTCTTTAGCGGCATCTTGACATTCTTAAATCTTTCATAACTGTGTCGAAACTGCTCAAGTTCTTAGTCCATCATTTCTCCAGATATCAGCTTGCCTATGCACAAGCAGTAATTGTTTCAAGACAATGCCTCTTTATGGTTGATAATTTGTGCTAATTCTTGAGGGGGGTCAAGGAGTATATTATATTAAAAATATTTCTCGCGAAAACAAGTGGCCAAATGCTGCTGAAAGTTTTAGTATAGTCAACATCCCATGTCTTGAAGAATTGGGTTGAATAATTGTGTTACGGTAATGATAAGATGGTCTCTGGTGAGGAGGCTGATTGTAGGTGTGGTAAAGTCGTGGGAGGAATCCGGGTTCCTTGTGTCGTTGTTCCCTACGTCTCTGGTGGTGTTATTTTCCGGTCGTTGGGTCTTTCTCCCCACCTACATCTGGATTTTTCGGATCGAGTGATTGGGCAAGAACATGTTGGAAACTGCCTTATGCTCTTGATTTTTTCGGATTGAGTGATTGGACAAGAAGATGTTGGAAACTGCTTTATGCTCCTAAGGTTAAAAATCTTTGAGGATAGTTTTTTTGCTTTACCATGGGGAAGAAATTCAAGTCGCTTTATCTAACAGGTTAGTTAGGATTAGGGGGAGGCTCCTTTTCTCTTGACCGTTGGAATCCATCCTCTCACTCCTCTTATTTAAGCAAGGAGAGTGTGTGGATTAGGGTTAATGGTGTCCCCTTGCATGTGCGGTCAGTGGATACTTTTGTGACATCGATAATAATTCGGTTCTTGGGAAAGATTTAAGCTTTGCTTGCATTCGGATTTGGAAATGGCACGGAGTCCAAACGTTGTTAGACTTGTGGTGGGTAAGGAGGCTTTCTCTATCCTTGTTTCCGTTGAAGAGAGGAGAGAGATTCTGGTCCAGGCCGTGGGGAAGTGAGGGATTGGGGGAAGAAGGTTAACTAACGGGCCGTGTTCCCGTGGCTAACCAACCACACCGGTTTAGTTCATAAATGTCGCCATCACCGGAAATCCAGGCAGGATAAGAAGCTCGTTCAAACTTTGAAAATCTCCAAATGTTGGTTCCTGGTGGGCGGTTTCGCGATGCCACCGACGACTCATAAGGAGCCGTTCCGGGATAGGGGACATGACGTGTCTCTGGAATTGACATGTGCTGAGCCTGATGGTGCTACTCCATTTCCTGCGATAGTCTGCAGGGGACCACCAAAAGTTTCTAGTGAATTGCCGGTGGGTGCTACTCCATTTCCTGCGATAGTCTGCAGGGGACCACCAAAAGTTTCTAGTGAATTGCCGGTGCTTCGTCCCGGAAGGACGCCTGCCCTGACGGCACGCTATCTGACGACACAGACTCTTTCCTTTTCCCAACCGACACTCCCTTTGCCTCCTCCACAACGTAAGCAGAAGCTTCCCTGTAAATCTTCTTCCTTCCTCTCGGTTGGGCTTTTTGCTTTCCTTGCTTCTGTTTATAGCTGTTGCTCAGTGGTTGCTTTCAACCTTTTGTTGTGATCGCTGCAAAGATGTACCCCCCTATTCTTTCGTAAAGCAGCTAGGAGATCCCTCTCTTCTCCCAAGCTGAGGTTTGACCCATTGCTGGTGGATCCGCTGGCAGTGGTTGCGCTTGATGATCCTGCAGACGCCATGGTTCTTGAAGGGGAAGTTCCGGACTCTGTGAGTGGGGATGGTTGACCACAGCCTTGTGCTGATGGAAGTGGATTCGCCGTCTCCAATTGTTGTTTCCCGTCCGGAAGATGTCCAACTTAGTTTTCATCTTACTGCTATCCCTGTACTTGTGAGTGGGTTGCCCGTTGTTGGCTCTTCTTCGGATGCGGTGCCCCTTGCTGATTCCTTTTCGAGCCCAGACATCCCGTACGAGCAGAAGATTACTGGTTTGGTGGCAGATTGCGGCATGGATTACGATGTCCCCATTGCGGAGGTCTTCACAGAGATTCTTGATAAGAAGAAAGTTGCAAAAGAGGTTCTTAGGGGTCTTCACCCCTCGGATCCACAGAAGGGTGCTCAAACCCCTGGAGAGGGCAAAGGCAAAGCTATTGGTAAAGATCCTGTCAAGGGGTCGAGATCTTCGGCGCAGCCCTACCATCTTACAGGAAACCAAACTCTCGAGTCCTACCATCTCTAGTGCCAGGCTTTTTATTAATGATATGGCTGCTTTTATTAGGAGCTTTTCTTTTCCGCTTTGTTTGGGTGGGGACTTTAATTTTATGAGATGGCCGGATGAATGTTCCTATTCTGATTCAATTTCGTCTGTTATGAGGTTCTTCAATGATTTTATTGAATCCCATGTTCTCATTGATTTGCCTATTGTTGGTGCCTACTTTACGTGGACTAACAATAGTTCTTTCAATTTATTCATGTCTAAATTGGATCGATTTTTAGTGTCCGGGGAGTGGACTGATTATTTCTTGTGCAGCGGTGAGGGCTCTTTCGAGACTCTCTTCTGATCGTACTCCCTTACACTTGTGCCTTAAGGTCCTTTCCAAAGGCCCTAAACCTTCAGATTCGAAGCTGCTTGGCTTTCTGAAAAAGTGGTTGGGAACATTATCAAGAGTGCTTGGGAGAACTCTATCTCCTTTGGCTCTATGGACTTCTAGCTCCATAAAAGCTTCTTTGCGTCAAGCATAGGCTTATTGCCTGGAAACGTGAGCACATCTCTAATGTCAGTCTTAAAATTGATGATGTCCTTACCTTTCTCTCCGACTTTGATGCTTTTGTCCAAAATTCTTGCATTCTCTCTGAGGAGCAGAAGTTGGAGAGGCTCGCTAAAACCTTGGAACTTCAGGAGCTCCGCAAAGTTGAGGAGGTGTTCTGGAGGCAGAGATCTATAGTTAAGTGGCTTAAGGAAGGTGATCTTAACACCAAATTCTTCCATGCGATCACCAGTGCTAGGAGGCGTCAAAATGATGTCTCGGGTCTAGTGATTGTTGGAACTGACCCTGACAATGAATCCGCGATGGCCTCGGCTATGACCGATCACTTTAAGAGGGCTTTTACTTCTGAAGTGAAGGTCACGCCAAGACTATCTAGAGTGGGTTTTAAAGGTCTGACCTCTTATGCGAGAGGTCTTCTTGCAGTAGAGTTGACTATGGAAGAGGTCAAAAAAGCAGTCTTCGCCTTACTAGGAGACAAGGCTCCTGGCCCTAATGGCTTCCTGCTGTTCTTTTTCAACAAGTTATGGAATCTGATCAGTTGGGAAATCCTGGAGATGGTTAGAGACTTTATGAGGCATGGTGAGGTTTTTCATGGAGTTAACTCTTCTTATATTGCCTTGATCCCCAAAACTTCAGTCATCGAAGTTTTAGGTGATATCAGACCAATAAGTCTTCTTTCCAATCTTTATAAT